GGACGCAAGTGTCCGGTGACCGGGAAGGACATGCTGTTTATGACTCTGGTGACTCTCAAGCACGCGGGTACATGGGACATTCTCTCCGCCAGCTTCGACGAGAGTGCCGCCACGTTCAGCACCCGCATCCACAACTTCGTTCGCGTCCTTCACCCGTACTTGATACGCAAGTACATCGATGATCAAGGCATGAAGTGGACGATGCAGCAACTTGCTGTCGCTGGCCTCCAGTTCACAACCCACAAGTCGGCGCTGTATGCAGTTGATGTGACGTTCCAGCAGACCACTGTCCCGGTGGTGGAATTCGGCGAAAAGAAGACGTACTTCTCCAAGAAGCACGGGCTCTATGGGCACAGGGTTGAGGTGTCTGTTGCACCGAATGGCTTGGCGATCAATATCACGTATTGCGCTGTGGGCAGTACGTCGGACATCGAAATGTTCAAGGTTAACCTGGGCTTTCACTCGGCGCAACTGGAGAAGCAACCCAACGATACCAATGTCAGCGACACCGAGATGCTCCGCGACAAGTTTCCGAACCAGTGGGCAGTCCTTGCGGACAAGGGATATCAAGGCATCCAAAAGTACGTCCGTGGTTTCACGCCAGTCAAGCGTCCCCCGCACGGTCAACTGACGATGGAGCAGGAGCGGGCGAATGCAAAGCTGTCGTCGGACCGCGTGATTGTGGAGAACTTCTTTGGACGGCTCAAGACGCTGTGGGGTCTGGTGTCGGACAAGTACACATGGAAGCGGGATGAGTACAACATGTACTTTCAGACTTGCGTGGCCCTCACGAACATCCACGTTCGGTTCAATCCATTGCCGAATTTGGACGGTGAGGGCTACAATCAGTACAAGAACCGGCTGCTCTCCATTGGGAAGCAAGATCAAGTCCAAGAATGCTTCGTCCAAGGCGAAGTATCGTGAGAACCGCAGGACCCGGTTTCAGGCTGTGTTGCGTCGTGCAAGCACTGGCTACACCATTAACGACTACGACGTTGGTTACGAAGAGGGAGACGATATCTTTGACTAACTTCAACTCAACATGCATTTTTCATCAAATAATTATTTGTGTAAAAAAAATTGATTTTGGGAAAACCTTCGGCACACCCCGGGACTCGAACCCGGGGCCAATCCACCACCGCCTAATCGTCAAACCGATATGCTACGCGCCAAAGGCTTGGCTTATACCTTCGTCCATCGATATCGTCATTTGTACCTCCACAACTTAATTGTATTAATCCAATGGAGTTTGTTCTTTAGAAGGATACTGACTACCTTCACGATTTACTCGATCCTTTCAAGAAGTGCAGGAGGACAACAAGAGAGTGAGTCACATGTAAAGATAATGCGTACATACTGCATGTGATCAATCTCTCGAGTTTGACCCATTCGTTGGTCAAGAGGTCTAGTGTTTCGTGAATGTTTCGTAAATCAGTGGTATTTTTCTATACTTGAAGCACCATACAAAATCCAGCATAAAGAATAATCGATACGTCCGTTTTACGAAACAAAATGTTTCGTGACTGCATTGAATCTGTCTGCGCCGGCTTACACAACCAGCTACCGTGCTTACGACGGTAGACGTTGATGACAAATCCAAAAGTGTCTTCAATATCATTCAGGTTATGTGTCCATCAACCAGCGAATCACTTCGCTGTAATGCAGGCATCACAGTCAATACACTCACAGAGGACCGAGGGAGGTTCGGTAAGCCCTAGCCTGGGCCTAAATAGGATCCACCGAGGGACTAATTAGTTTCTCCCTCGGCGAGTCTAAAAATAGAACCCGACTCAGCTCACTGTCAACTGCGCACACAATAGTATAGTTATATACTTATAAATAACTATACTATATATATATATGGCGTAGACGTACTCTGCAATTGGGTTTGCACATCCGTATGCAGATATCGCAGTAGACCCCTCCGGTTCCAGAATATGCCACGGAGTGGGCGTAAAAGGAAATTTCCCCATCGGATCCGTCTTTCCCAGGACTTCGGGTACCTTTTCCCCCCAAACCCCCTTTCGCCGATAACGTGCCCATCACGTGGATGCTTGTGCCACTGGAAATTACGAGGGAGCCCCCACTAGAGTACACATCTTTTGTTTGGGACAAATCCTATTTCCCAATCTTTACTATGGTGTGTTTACCTGCCGCCGCCGCCTGCAAAAATGCCATTTTCGCCAGCTTGGCC